TTTACTTTGATAGTGACATTCAACTGGATTTTGTACTGTGTTTATATACGTTCTGAAAATAAAATAAAGTTTAAAGTAACTTTTTTATCCATTTCCTCTGAACTAACTGCATCTTACTCTTGATCAAAGTTTAAATTGTTTTCTCCTCCTCTAAACTCAGAACCTGTCCATCATTGTGCTGAATCTGTTTTCAGCACCTTGTTTTTTCCCCTTTTCTTTCTCTTTCACATTCTCCATTGATTCTCTCCCAGATGGACTGCTTTGAACTCTGACTCGAGGGGTTAACAACATCTATGGAACTTCTGCAACTCTATCAGAATGGAAAACACCACTGCCATCAAACAAACTGCTGCTTGTTTTCTCCTTTCTTTTGTTCCTTTCTGTCCATATCTGTGTCAGTGTGTATTATGTGTATTGATAAATTGAATAAATGAGATAAAACTTTCTTTCTGTTTCTTCTGTCTTTCCTCATTTTATTTATTTTACTTCTGTCCTCTAGAAATTTGATTGAATTGGTTCAAAAACCTATGAAAATCAGCATGACTATATGTAAAATAATTTGCATACAGTAAGCTTCGCCCTTACTGAAAGTATAACAGTGATGGATTACCTATTCCAAAGAAGATGTTGTAATGGTTCCTTTAACAACTGCTATACAGTAGGAGTGCAGTGGGAACTCAAGTTCAACGCTGACTGGGCATATTCATGCAAATCTTGGGCAGACAGGTGAGGTCAGTGATAAAGCATGGTATGTCAATGACTGGAAATCCATGCTTGCAGTAACCATTGCGCTTGTGTGTACAAGAGGTAGCATCTAGGATAGCTCCTTAGCAGCTGACAACAGCAGGGTCGTCTCCTTGGAGAGTGGTGGTTGTCATGGTGTCCTGACAATGGTTGTACTGGATGTTTGTAGGGAGGTAGGGAAGAGTATAGAAGAATGCTGCCCCTGGCCAAACAGTTGTTAAATGGGGTCTTGGTATACCATTGCAAATGTATTTATTGAGGTTAAATATGGTGCATTGACTCTTTTAATTGATTATGGTTGTTTCATACAAATGTGTTGGATATTACTTTGTTCAACTACTCTTCAGCTACTGGCATACACATTAGAAATTAAACTGGAAACTCACTGGACTTTCATACAAGGGTTCACTTTTTTGCGGTTTCAGCAGAGGCACACAGGCCTGACAGAGACAGAGAGAAAGGGAGTGAGACGGTGAGCCAGTTGCACAGCTCAGGGCTATTATGGGATGGATGCTCTATAGACAACACTAGTAAGGAGAGAACATTTCAAATAGGGGCCTGTAATGAATGTCCAAAGTGATTTCTCAGAAACAGCATTGTCCTTTCAGTCTGCACACCAGAGAGGCTTGATTGGCTGTATTCAGCTCCATAGTTGGCCACCTGTCTGCCCTGCTGGGAAATGGGTTTCTGCCCTTTTTTTCCCTTCTTTTTTTTTGTCTCTCTCTTTCATTTGTTCCCTGTCTCATTCGTCAGTGTGATCACTTTAGCTTCGGTAAGTGAATTGAAGAGTAGAGAATAAGAGGTCTATCACAAAGATGAATATGCACTCACACATGCCTTTTATTTCCTGCGCCTATCTCAAATGCATATTCCCTACTCAGTCAGTAGCCATCAAGAGTCCATCAATGCTTTTCAGGCTGTGTTTGAATAATTGTTGTGATAAGTTGTATAAATTGTCCTGATTTTGCAAACCATAAACATATTTTGTTTAAAACATGTTCTCATGTCAGAGCAGGTAACATGATGTTTTATTAAGATGAAAGAAAGATTTTTCTAGTGTTCCAGTGTTGCAGTATTAGTTTGTTTATGATTAATAATGATAGAAATTGCTTCCAGTTTACTGGGCAATCCAGCATCATAATTAGTATCCTGTATTATGTACACGTTGTATATGGGTGGTGTTCAGATGTCGGCAACCTGGAGAACATAAACATGGACCTGTGAAAATTATATGGACCACTTAACAAATTAAGTGTATTTTAGTTTATCTATGCTCAACTTTTAATCGTAAATTATACCATGAGAGTAGCATCTTACTGTGTAAAGGTTTGTCATCATTTACTTTGTCTATGAAAGACACAATTTACAAACTAAAGTATCGCAATTAATGTGCAAGAGGCAGATACAAAGAGAAAGAGAGCTGAAAAACAGAAAGGAGCTTAGTCTCATACAGTCTGAAGCTGTCTACCGTATACTGGAAAAGATATTTGCTCTCTCAGTCACAGAAGTTTTGTGGCCACCATTAAGCACATGGTAGCATTTTGACAGTTCAATAAAGTTAAAAGCTTTCTACTGCGTCCAGCCTTGGCAGGAGGTAGTAATATATTGTCTAGACTTGCAGAGCCATTTGTGAAGACATCTATCAGAGCAACAGAAGACCAAACAATAATAATAATGAAAATTAACAAAAAGCATTCCAAAGAGTGCTTCTGTTAGCTTCTGCTAAAAGTTGTGTAGAACCAAAACTGCCAAAATAAAAAATAACTAAATAAGTGACCGAATAAATAAATAAATATTCCGTCAATAACCAAAAACAATATTGAAAATAAATATAGGCAGTATCCAATTTATAAATGATTATTTCTGGGTTTTTTTTACCTTTGCATTAATTCCCTTATTTCTTTACAGTACTTTCCCATTTAAGTCATGTGGCCAACTTCTCTCCTATTGATTGATTGACTGCAGAGATTGACTTTACATACCTTCGGAGCAGTTTGGAGTACTGTAAGTCAATGAGGGAATGTTAAAAATGACTTTTCAAACGACACACCTGTCATGTCTTATACCCAGTCCAACAGCTGGTGGACTGTTTGAGGAGCAGTGGTGAAAAAAATGAGCACAATCTCCCACCTCACCCCCTTAGTCCACCAGTGAATGAGAGGGATGAGCACTGATATGGTGCGGTGAAGAAATAAAAAAAAAATATTAGAAGAAATATTCCTTTGATTCATCCTAATTCAGAACCTAATGCTCTAATCATCAATATGAACACATGCTTGATTCAACAAAGACATTCACACATGCTTGATTCAACAAAGACATTCACACATGCACACACACAGCAAGCTGGTGGCGTCATGATAGATAGATAGATAGATAGATAGATAGATAGATAGATAGATAGATAGATAGATAGATAGATAGATAGATAGATAGATAGATAGATAGATAGATAAAATAAATAGCAAAATAACGAGCATTGGGTGAGTGTCCTAAGGTGCATGGTCAAATCCAGTGCTTGAAAGGCCTAAGGTGCATAAGTAGGTGGTCACATAATGCAGGGTGCACTGTGTCTGGTGGTATAGTTTGATACAGGGCAGACATAGTTTAGAATTTTTCGGATTTCCTCCCCTGGGTGGAGTTGAAGAGCCTCATGGCGTGGGGGAGAAACAATCTCCTTAATGGATCTCCAGTGGAGCAGGACAGTGGATGCAGTGGATTGTCCATGATTGACAGGAGCCTGTTCAGGCAGAGGGAGTTCAGTGATTTAAGCAAATAAACCCCCGAGCTATTATTAGAAGTTTCACGGTAAGTCCATTAACTGTCAATCCATTACCATTAGATACATTTGCCTTTATAATGGATGGTTCAGAATTTACTGTCTTGAACTCTTATGATGGGATTTTAACTGAATTGATGAACACATTTCTGCAAGTCCTGGCAGGAATGAGAATATAAACATTTCCCCCTGGTGGTTTATTAAAGAACTGCAGTCCTTGGTGATTCAGATTACATTACTACTCTACTGTATATTACATGAAGTGCTGAGTTGGTTAAAATGATCATGGCCATGAATAAATCAGTCAGATACTAACAGAGCAATGCCATTCTTACTCAAACACACACACACACACACACACACACACACACACACCACACACACACACACACACTCACATCCAAACAGAACCAAAAAATCAAACCAGATAGGTGCTTTAAGACAGAGCAAAAGTGCCTCTGTATGCACCCTCACATGAACTCAGTGACTTGTTCTGAACTTTAACAATACTGTGAAAGTCAGAAGCACCACTTCAAGCTGGTGCATAAAACATAAGCATTAAATCGAAAAATTAGTGTCTGTTCATGCATCTGGTCTGAATCTGTATATTTACTTGGAGGACATTTTATTTTTGCAGTATTACACAATTTGTCTTGGGAATAGAAACCACAAGCCCATGAAGAAACTAGCACACTTGCATATTCTTCACATTGTTATTCTGTACAACTCCCTTCTTTATGGTTGTCTTAACAGCCTGAAGCAGCACCAAAGGCTCGATGAATGAGTTTCATAGAAAGCTTGCTGAGCAAAGCCCGGAATCTGTTATTCATGTTACAGCAGCAGTGGCTCTTTCTGAGTCTGATACCTACTGTGCAGGAGACATTTTATGCAGAATCTGTATATATTATACTTACATGTAGCTTAAATACAGTTTCTTAATGATGATGTTCCACTTTCATTGTCATTCATCTTGTTTTCTTTCTTCTTGTTATATATCTACTATTATTCATTATTGATTCACTAACCAGTACCACACCACAACAATGTGGTATTAAAGGTTTAATGAAACAAGGACATTGTTAAGGATGGGTGAATGCATGTGAGGAAGTGGGGAAGGAAGTTGTCTATTTAGGCCTGTGTAGGATAGATGCATTGGAGGCTTGGGAGGAGACTCATTGTGGGGGATTCATTCAGTCACCCAAGCCCCAGATAGAACCTGGAAAAGGAGAGATGGGAGAGGTATGCACAGGATCAAATAATAAGGAATGAAAGGTAGGAAGGAAGTATTCATGGATGCAAATCGTATGGGAAGAGGAAATTGAGACAAGACGGATGGGATAAGTTGATTAGGTATAAGTAGGCTTGACAGATGATAAATCTAACATCTAACACACACCTTAGTTCTTGAAGCAGTCAGGAAATTTTCCCCATGCCAAATAAAACATGCCACACACAAACAAATACGCGGAATGCCAACTAGAATGTATTAACAATATTTATTCACTACAAGTTCCAGTGTTATTTTTCCTATTTGATTTCAACCCAACAGTAAGAACAAGATGTATTTTTATACATATTTACAGATTGGTTTTTACTATTGGCAATATATCACATGTCAGTATTTATCTATATACACAACCCATATACCACCTTGTGTACCACATGCCAACCTATGGCCGGGGTAGAAGATGAGAAGTTTATTTAATCTGACTTAAAATTTCAGTAGTTTTCTACTGATTGTGCTCTCTTTCTTTCCTCCATTGTTCCTGCAAAGGGAGGGCAGAGTTAGAGTAAAATAATCTCAGTTTTGCTTCTTCGGCCTGAAATTCTCTCTGGGAAGAATAAAGCCAGAGCTCTTAGAAGAAAAGTTCTTCTTTAATGTTGTCAGCCAATGTTCAGGGCAGGGATACTGGGACAGATGGTGAGTGAAATCTACACAGACAGAAGACTTTATTCTGAAAACATTGTCAGACAAAAAGGAGGGAAGGTGTTGACTGACCTTTCATCAGTTGACCTTTTTCAGCCTTATCGTGTTTATAAATTAATGTGTGTGTGTGTGTGTGTGTGTGTGTGTGTGTGTGTGTGTGTGTGTGTATATATGTGTGTGAGGTGGACTGAACCAAAGTACTGTAGCACTGCCACACAGTAGACAGCTTTGAGACAAAACAGAAAGAAAAGTCTATAATAGGGGCAAATATACTATGATGATGAACAAACATACAGTATTTGCAATTGATCTGCACTGGTACCTATTGTAACTGATAAAATAGTAAATACATTTAAAAATGCAGATTAAAAACTAAAAGCCATTTCCATCATGACTTCCAGGCAAATAAAAAAAATAAAAAATAAAAACCCAGGAGAAACAGGCTTGCTCTTTGATCCAGGTCTGTGTAAACTGTATCACTGACTGTGGTGAAAAACCAGTGTTTACTGGTACTCAGCAGGTCTATTTGTGAGACTCCATAAATGTGTGACACCAATAACACAAAAGTACATCACCTTGGCTAGTATCTATTGCTCATTTTATCCAAATATTTGTTGGGATTAAAGAGCACTCTGTATTTATGTTTCCAGTCTGAAATGATAAGCTAATACCACTCTAGACTAGCTGCCAGCCCTCCCATGTTTGATTTTCTAATTCAGTTAACTGTATTTGAGTGCATCTAACACCTACAAGGACGGCATGTATATTTAATAGTCCATAATAGATATTAAAAGTGTTTCTAAAGTCAGTGAAGTCATCTGGACTAATCCATCATAAGTTATGATATTGTATTTGTTAAAGTTGGAGCACTTTCTGTGATGTTAGCACATACATTTGTCTACCTAAGAATTCCATTGCCAAAACATTTAATAAAAGTCATTAATCAGACGCAAAGAGAAATTGCTTTAAAGAATAAAACACATTTTCCAATACTGCATGTAACACACAAATAATTCCTGTATCGAATATTGCATCACAGCGACAAGAAATTATTAGTGTTGTGCATTAAACGTAATGCACAATAAGAAATAAGGGTTGGTAAATTTGGGAACACTGTTTGTAAGAATGTTTTTCCACTGGTGACATTTGGTTAAAATATAAAAACAGCAGGTCGGAAACACAGTGATACTTTCTACCATATACAGCATTGGTGTCTATTATTTATAGTAATGTTAAACCATGTATTTAACCTTGTGATGAAATGGCAATTACTCATTAGAAAAAAAAAAATCTCTCATTGAAACCAAAAATACTGTCTACCGAACCCAGCTTGTCTAATGTAACAAAAAGAACTATTTTAAAATTAAGACACATGAGTTGTAAAATCTGTTTTAGTCAGACATGTAATGTATTTTCTTTGATTCACAATCTAGCCTACTGTTGTAGTTACAATATGTACAGTAGAAAACAGTAGGTGTTAGCCTTTGTCAAGGGAAAAAAATCACCTTTAAATATATATTTGTCTCTTTATAAAGCATTTATGAAATAATCATCCTCTTATCCATGTCTTCTCAAACCAGCACTGATGTGACATGAACCAGATTAGGACAACAGCAAGGATGAACATGGAGAAGACTATGACAATATCCATCTGCAGGTACACGTTTAAATATGGGACAGTAGCTTTATGTTGTAAAATGTGTTGTGCAGGTTTTCTCTGAAAATCCAGCACTTGTGCTATCTTCAAATATCAGCAGTAGTTTGTATGTGCAGAAAAGTTTTGACTTATGTGGTAAGGGCAAAGTATGTCATTAGTAAGAGTTATTATTCATAAGACAGCAGTTTTGATATAAAATTTCTCTGAAAAGTGCAAAAAGGTAATTAAAATGTTTGCATTCAATGAATTAAAGTATATTATGTGATGTATTGCACCTAATAAAACCCCTCTCTCTGAGCTTCTAAGGCCATTTCACCCAACACCATTTCATTCTTACACTTTATCTTTTAGGTTACTCCCAACAGACATTTAAACATTCACTTTTTCAACGCATAATCCTCATCATCACTATCGTTACTGTCAATCAAAATTACAACTGAAATTATTCAAAGTAATATGGACTTAATTTGTTATCCTAAAACAAGGGACACATGCATTTATGTGGGAATCCAAGCTTGCCTTTGTCTGAACATGCAGTATGGACACATTGAGATGAAGATGCTTTGTGTTGCTTTGAGTCCAAAAAAACACAATCGTCACAATGATCCAGCCCTGAAAAAAGATCTGGGAATCCAGGTTCTGCAGGAAATTTCACTCCAGCTTTGTGAAACCATCCACGTGGTTGAAAAATAGTTCCCACCACATCTGCCAAGAATAGCCATCCATCAAGGGGATGATCAGATTCCATGTAGTGCTTGTCTACAAAATGGAGGGTCCTGTCCAAAGAATTGGCATTAAACGAACTCTGCACTGTAAAATCCCAGTTGTTTTCAGATAAAGAGGTCGAGACATACAGAAAGACACAGTTGTAAAGGGCAGCGGGCTGCTTCAGCCCATATTCGATCTGTTTTTCATTAGTGGATTTCAAACATCACAACCAAACCAAACTCATTTAGTCTGGTTTTCAAAGCTAACAGTTTACCAAATCAGACTTCAGACCAGCGAGCCTGCTCTACTCTGGGCGGGCACCATGACAGGCACCGCCCCCATCCTCTCCAGTGTGGCCTGGCTCACCGCGTAGGAGTGTGTGTGCTGCCCGTGCGCGGATGTCACCACCGGTTTGAGGCTCACAGAGCCGTTGCTGCGCACCATGGTGGGAGGGGATGGGGCAGAGTTTGTGGTAACCACCAGAGTCTTGGGTGGCGGGAGCGTGTGGCTGCCATTGGCAAATGATGTTGTTGTTGCCGTTGTGGCCTGCGCATGGCGGGACAATGGGGCTGAGCCTGGTGCTGTGACCACTGTACTGTGGCTGTGTCCTGGGTTCTGGGCCTGTCCGTGTGCACCATGAGCGGCAGCGGAGAAGGTCTGACGAGTGTCTCCATTGTAACGTGTATAGGAGTTGGTGTCATAGTTGGGTTTGGGGTTGTGCCAGTAGCGACTGTTGTAGGTGTTGGTAGACGTCAGTGTGTCGTTCTCTGAGGATGAGGCGTCTGCATGGAAAGCCTTCACTGATGACGACCTCTTGGGAGGAAGATCATCTTCTCTGTTAAGAAGATATATGTTGATGTGAGTGATATTAGAAATTATAGCACTAAGATAACCAATTAGTTCATCTTCAAATATTTAGCACAAATCCTCTCTGACGCATTAAAAATTTAAAGAGCTTCTCTATGCAGTCAAGTTGCAAGAATCTAAATACTACTTATTTAATCATTCCATCAATCATTTGCTCTCACATCTTTCTGGACTCTGTTAAATATACAGTGGGTTGTCACACTTGAACCATCAGTACAAATAATGCAACGAAGTTGACACAATTGTCCAAAATAATAAAAAAAAGAGAGCTATCATGTTAATTTGATCATGAAAAACAATATTGTGTTATTCTCTTGTAGTCAACACAAACAGTTTTAGATATACTTTCAGTATATATGAAGTGGATGTTTTGAAATGAGGCTAACAGAGGGAAGAGTTTGGCTCCTGATACATTGGCTGAGATCAAATATATTCATTGTGATTTACTGTTAGTGGGTAAAAATCATAGCCGTAGGGGTGGAAACTGAATTAGGGACCATAGTGCAGCTCAAAATGAGGCAGATGTTATCCCAATCAGCCAAAGCTTCAGATATGTGAACAATGATTTATCTTCCAAATGATTCATGGAGTGATTTAGGGGAGAAGCTGTAGCCCATTTAAACAACTGACAGAGCTTCACAAAGTGTTTGAAAAAGCAAATTAGCCTGTGATGATAGAAAATTTGCTGCCAGGGGATAAAATTGAGCTGAATTATCCCAACTTTAAATCCAATTTACTGGCCAATGTTTTCTGATCTGAATCTGTATGATTGCAGTGCTGACACACTTATTGGTCTGCACCTTTTAAAATACAACAGATAAGATATTCTCCATCCTGCCACAGTCTAAAATACATATAGACAGTAAACAGTAAACAATCTCTGTTTGACTTCAGACATTCCATCCAATACATATACATTAATATTATGTTTGTTGTATAATAGATATATATGTTATAATATATGTTCTACATTCTTTACACAACAGCTTTTGGTTGCACTCACTCAAAAACCACAAATCAAAGCCAAACCTGATCTCATTGGGGATCTCCTCCTCATCATATTTGTTCTTGTTCTTCCAGTAGAAGAGTGTGACCACCACTAACAGGGAGCAGATGATAACAGCTAGGACTCCTGTAGCGATGGTCCCTGCTATCAGACCCACACTCTGAGGCTGGGCTGCAGGGCAGAGGGACAGGAGGAGAGAGTTTCACAAAGGTTTGCTAAATAATTGACAGTATGGTCAATCCAAATCATCCAGAATCAGCCTCCTCTGAGAGCTGGTTGGATGGGGCTGCAGAAAACTAAACAATAGGAAAAAGGTAGAAGAATAAGAATATACATACAGTAGCAATCAAGTTCAGAGCTTAATAGCAGCTGCTAATGCTACAGTAAATATTCAAACTTTGTGTACATTGTGTATGAGAACCACTGGTGGTCACTAAATTCAAGTTGCCACCTTAAACAATGCAAGAGGCCCTCTCTAGAGCCAGTGTTTGCTGTGTCTGCTCACGACTACTGTTGTAATATGGCTGTGTAATATAGTAGCTCCATATGATCCGCTCCCTCTGTAGATTAAAAACAGCTTGCTCTAAGCAAACAATTATTATATTTCAGGAGATTATACACTAATGAAAACATAACTCTGAATTTTATATTCAGTTTCTCCCAATGAATACAACTAAATCCTATGCACTGGACCTTTAAATGTGTATTAACCAGTGTTTTAAGCTGAGTTAGGGGTATTCTATAATGTACAATAGGTTTATCAGTTTTTCCAATAATCCTTTAGTTAAATAGGAAACAGCAATGGGACAGAACAGAGTGACATTTACACCTGTGTGATGTTGGCACTGCCTGCAACACCCACTGTTGTATCTGACAGACAGATTCAGCTGTCTGTCTGCATGTATTTCTGACATGGAGCGTCAGCCAGTCACACACTGACACACAAAAGACTAAAAACCATGTTGCTGTCCTTCCTGTCAAACTGTCTGACCCTGTAAGACCCAAATTCTCTGTCTTTTTGTGTGTGGGGAGTGCTGCTATCTTCAAAATGTTTGTCCTTTGTTTGGTTGTATTGTTTGTTTGCTTATTATTGTGTTTATCTGACTGTTTGACAGTGTCACTCAAGCAGAAGACTTCTAACTTTATTCCCATCTGTCAGTGCTTGAGACGAGGAGGCGGCTTTTCCATCTATAAACAAACACAGCCATGTGTCGGCTGGTCTATATGTGACAGTAATGGTGTCACATGGCCCCAACAGTAAAGGAGCAGTTTGTTTGAGTGTACTTACGTGCTACAACCTGCAGGTTGAGCAGACAGGTGCTCTTGCCAATTGCATTGCTGGAGGTACACTGGTAGAGTCCTGAGGTGCTGGTGCTGATGTTTCTCAGTGTTACAGTGCCCTGCATCTGGTCTGAAGGACACACACACACAGCCACATGGTAATTAAAGTGACTAAAACACATGGATGCACGCAGCACAGTGTGGAAGTGGACCAAATGCATATTTAAAAAAGTGCAAAGTATAACATCAGAGTAAATTTTAAATTCAAACTGAAAAGGTCATTCATAATTTGAGTAAAGCAAGTCAAGTTTGGTTCATTTTAGTATACAAATCTTGTGCATCATATGACACTACATTCAACTGAACTATTTCTACTAACTACCAATAGAGGGTGCTATATAGCTTTAATGTAAGGTGTGCAAGTGAAGCACAGTAAAAAAAATAAAGCTGCAGATTCCTTTCTTTAACAAATGATGAGTAGGTTTATTCGTCAGCTTAGAATCATAGAGCTGTACACTGCTGGATTCAATAAAAAGGAAGCAAGCCCGATTTTTACCTGTTCTCTTTACAATGGCATGACAGATGTCACAGTTGTCTGTGTCAAACTAAACTCACACAGAGACAGGAGTGACACTAACAAATCCAGGATTGGATTTCAATTTAAATCAAATGCAAACAGCAGAAGAAGACGGGCACAAAGCTCAATACAAAACTTCTAATAAAAAAAGTTAAATAAACATGTCAAACCAGGTGGATCCAGCAGAGGAGCTGTATTGTAAACCAAGAAGTGTAAATAGATTTAATGAAACTCTTGAAGCACTATAAGCACATTGTTTAATAATATCATTTTAATAAGTTGGTCTTTTTTTCTTATTTTCTTTATTTTCATACAATACTGTGATTTTTTTCATATAGCCTAAATTGAAATATCTCTCAAATGGTCGATACTGATACAGCTTACACAGAATCAGGGTTAATGTAACTATGAAAAACATGGTTTAATTTTGTGCAACTGAGATTTTTTGTGAGATACATTTTGGCCTCTTTGAAGCTCTGTTAGATGTTAACATATCAAAGGGCTGATTGCTATTCATTCCAATTAGCATCTAAAAAATAATTAGCTTTATTTTTTGTGGAAATCTGCTATTTGCAATTGATACATTTTACAAATTGGCCTTCTATATTGAACAGCAGTGTACAGACAAAGAAACGATTTGGTGGTAAAGATTACTTGCAAAGAGCACAGCTGGAAAAGAAAGGAGAGTCCACCACACCGACGTTCTCTGATACTGAAAACCAAAACTCCAATACTCCTACAATACTCCTGTTATTCTGTGAGGAGATGGATGGGTGGTAGGTCACCGCTTAGCTGAAGCAGTATAGCCATATTGATTGCACCAGTCCAGTGCAAGATTCTGGAATAATTCAGAGTTGGTATTCAGCATGAGAGAATGGGGAAAAACATAAAAACACCACATTCACATAATCATCTAGGTTAATTACACAAACACATTCCCGACACACACTCATTCACAAATTCACACGGTCTGAATCATCACCATCCATCCATCATCACCCCTCAGCAGGATCAGCAGGATCAGTAGGGGTAGTGGTTCGGGCCTGGCAGATGACAGGTGGCTGAGATGGTGGGATTGTTGCTGAGTCTGAGCTACGCTATGTGTGTTTGATTTACCAGCAAAGGTGGGGCAAAAGGGAACTCCGACGGCCAGCTTGTTTGTAATACCTTGCATGGCGTTGTGCGGCAGCTTGGGCAGCGCGTCCAGTTTCTCCCAGGAGTATGACGGTGTGGGAATACCTTCATCAGAGCTGCAGAACAACATGATGTCACTGCCGACATCCAGCGTGCCCTGGATTCGACATGCTGGCACCGAGGGGGGCACTGGCAGATGGAGAGAGTGGGAGGTGTCATGTTGACTACTTTACAAAGCACATCTAATTTTTTCCGAATTGCAGAGCAAATTATGAAAAATCTCTATTAAATTAATAATAGAACGTTTTTTCTTCATTGGAAAATGATTATTATGGTCACTTAGAAACTAAATAATACAGTTTCAACCTCCTACAACTTGTCATAATGATGACTGTTTAAAATGCTACTGTTTACCTGTCTTTAGTGTTCTATAATTGGCCGGAAATGCTGCCCTCCAAGTAGAGGGATAAAGCAAGCAAGCTTCAGACAATAAAATACTGGATATCAGATGAAAACAGGTCAAAAAGCAGCAGTTTTCATGATTACATATGTTCTTCCTTTGAGACATGTTTTGGGCAATCAGGGCAAATCTGCATGGTCTCAGTAAATGGATTTTGTTGCAGCAGACGTAGCTTTAGCTCTGGCGTTCTTATCTTAATTTTTTAAACATTACAAATAGAAAATAGTTACCCAACACGGTGAGCCCAATGACGCCGATGTTGCGGCCCCCTCTGTCTGGGAAGTTGTTGACCAGGCACTGGTAGGTCCCAGTGTCGGACAGCTGGGTGTTGTTGATGAAGATGGAGGCACTTGTACTTGGCATGGTGGCCACGAAGCCAACACGACCATTGAGGTGGTTGGCGAGGCTGAACACCTGGCCACCCTGGTAAATTATCACCTGGATTGGGATTTCAGAAGGTAGTGGGTGTAAGAAATAGGGATAGAGAGTTAAAGGAGATGAATTGGTAAAAAAAAAGAGATATTTTTAATCCTAAGAAAAACTGAAGAATCTCCTCCTGTTGTCCAAAGAAATGCAGTAGATGTTTTTATACTCATTAACCTCAATACTTTGTGTCATTCTTGGACATTTCCTCAAGTGGCCTGTTACATATAACATTCACTAGAGGGAGACCTAGTTCTACTAAGAGGCTGAAAAGTAGCTTGACAGTGGACAGAAAAACTAAAGGAGTCACTAGAATTGTATGTCCTAAGAAACAAACAAACAAACAAACAGACATGCAAAAAAACCTTTTATTAGTAAGTGGTTCTTTCTAGCTCAGTGGGTAGATTCCAGAGTAAGAAGAACATACTGAAAGTATGCTTTCATGGTACTCTTCAGATAAAAGCATCCACTAAATGGTATGCATAATTGAAAACATTTTAACTTGGATTCATCAGATTGCAGTTTATATTTTTCCAACAGTAGCAATGCAGAAAATCTGCTGCACAAGGAATAAGATCTAGCTAGAAATTAAACCAAAACTCAGGCCTTTTATCATTACAACAGTGACTTTTGAGGGTAATCACTTGTAAGGCAGAATTCACACCTTCAGGTTCAGGTGAGTTTGTCTAACGTCCGAACTGAAGCACAACGAAGCATCAGCTTGTTCAAAAGCTTCCCCCAGGCCTCAAACTCAACTGAACAGCTCGTTTGTGAGGCCGAGCCACATGCAAAACAGCTCTCACCCCTCAGCTGGGCCCACACAAAAGATGAAGAGGACGCACACAAACACATGGTATGTGCACGCAAGTCTGGCACACACGCACCGACTCACACACAGACACGCACACACACACACACGTACACACAAAGCACGGAGGGGAATCAGAGGGGCTATTCACTTTGGTGAAAAGGGCCCTCATTGAACTGTTCAAAGACCCAGGCAGGGAAACAACCAGCACCAGTGTGTGTGTGTGTGTGTGTGTGTGTGTGTGTGTGTGTGTGTGTGTGTGTGTGTGTGTGTGTGTGTGTGTGTGTGTGTGTGTGTATGTGTATGCATGAGAGTGAAAGTGCAGGGGTGTGTATGTGACTGTGTTCTCCATCGCTGCTTAACGGTTGTAAATTGCGCGGCTGCAATTTCATGAGTGCAGTACGCTCGCTTTGTCCTCTTATGTGCAGATGAATAGGCAGCCCCTCAGCTGTGATGAGAGCCTGCAACTGCATCTTCCTTGTGTGTGTGTGTTTGTGTGCGTCAGTGTCTCTGTGTATATTCATTTACTCATGGTGAAGTGTATCAGTTTTGTGAAAGTGTGTGATTGTTCTATTTCCCAGGCTGATAACTTTGTGGTGTCACCTATATTCTGTCTGTCCACTCACTCCCTGTCTGTCTGTCTGTCTGTCTGTCTGTGCTTACCTCTCCGTTTCCCTCTCTAACAGACTTCACCGGTATGACCTGGCTCTACACCCCTGATGACCTAACAGTATAATCTGCATGCTCGGTGAAAGTAATCCAATCAATCGGCCCCACACACAACACATGAGGTGCATGTTTGCATGTTTGCATGTGTGCATGAGTGAGCGGAGGATTATAGCAGGCCCAAAACTGTGGTGCAACTGTCCCTGAATTTGTATTTTTCTGAATTCAATGCAGGTATTTGTTTTCTGACATTTAAAAAAACAGAGACAAAAAGGATTAAATAAAGCTCAGTACTGTACAGTATGTCAAGATAGACAGACAAGTGTCTACTCATGCCACATTCCACCAGTTTTCTAGACTTTGTGTCTCTGTGTCCACTGTGTTGAGCCATCCATATCTATGTGTGTGTGTATAAATCACCTCATCCTCTCATGTGACCTGGTTGGCTTTGTAGTGATGCACAGGGAGAAAAGAGGTCATGGCTGGCACTCAGATGGCGGACGGCCCTAAGAACTCTAGCTGGACTAGCTGGACGTCCCACTGCTGGCCCAGCGGTAAACCTCTGCTACATCCTTACTCTCCTAAAACCCTACACACACACACACACACACACACACACACACACACACACACACACACACACACACAGTACAAGCATTCACTCACGCTCTAACTATATTCTCTTGCTCTACAATCCACCCTGTATAGTGTGAGCCACAACTGGATTCACACAGTAAACCTTCAGATATTGTCTGTCACTACCAGTCTCATGACATTAGCCTACTTCTGACTGACCCAAAGGACCCTGTTGGCCGCAGACACGAGGGACACTGCCATCGCCTCAATAAAGCTTGAATAAACCTCTAAACCCCCTGCAGCCTCCACTCAATTTACTAACTGTAAGCTGCCACTGTTATCTCTTTCTATCCTCTGAGACATGTTCTGAACAATATAGGCCCAAATCCATGTTTACTAGTATATCTCTTCAAACTGCTGATTGACTGCATGATTTAGCCCATGATCTCCTTATTATGCATCTATACCATACCTTATTGCTAGTAACTGTTTAGAATTATCATCCATTTGCTATGTTTCTTTGTGGCACATTCAATGACCCTACAACAATGGTGTCTTTTGTTTTTAAAGTTATGTTTTAGTTCAAGTCATTATTGCTTGGGAGTGCTGACAGAAAAACCCCTCACTGTTGGTTGAGAAGTCAAGTCAGGTCAAGTTTACTTCTATTGCCCACTATCAAGTCTAAATGGGTTTTTCAGGTCTACCTTGGCAGCTGTTTCCAACCCAGCACATATTATCGAAGAAGACAAGGGAAAAAATAAACAGTTTTAATTAATGAAAGAATGGAGAACCCTCAAGAGAGGGAAGACCATAGGTGGAAAAAAGACATCAACAGAAAAAGAAGAGAAACTGAAAGCAGTTGTTAGAAATACAAAATAGGAGTAAAATCTGACAATATGATTAGAATTGATCCATTTACACAAATACCAATGAAGTATGTCTGTGAATAAGTCTCTTTATGTTCATCAGTGTAGGGGTCGATAAGGGTTAGGGGGAAAGGAATATGGTCCAACATCTTTCAATTTAAAGTCAGTTCTCCAAAAACACTGTTACCTTTTGCTATGTTTTCAAAAGATCACATGCAGAAGACAAATAACGATATCTGTCAACACGTCCTTACAAACAGAACGTTTTTACATTGGCATTACTATGCAGTGATGCTGTACATGTAAAAAAATAAAAGGTGACAAATTGATCAATGTGATGGATAAACTTTTTTGAGCAAGTTAATTGCCACAGCATGGTTTCCCCCAGTAGACTTCAGCTCAGTATTGTATGCTTACAGTACATTTTGGTGTCAGAGAAGCGGGAATCTATTTAACTGTAATAGTCAAAGGGGCACATTTGATCTTAGAGTTTAAGGTATGCGATGTTACCAAGTGATCTGTGTTTGGCAGTGATCAGGGTGGACTAGTGATCTGTGCCCTTCAACTGAAGGTAAAGGCTCATAACAGCAAGGATTCCTATGCTGAAGTGCTCTTAAGACATTACTGGTGAGAAAGACTGTACTGTCACTGATGCTGCATACTGATGTCCCTAGAGGGAGGCAAGCAAATAAAAAAAGAATTTCCTTAGTGCTGATCAATAAAAGGTATCACATTATTGTATATGAGAGTGTGTTGGAGCTGAGTGTATGAATTGTAGTGTAACCTCTCCTCAGCCTCTCTACAGAGATAGGCCACTTTTTACTAGTCTGAAATGGGTCCTTGTTCAGTTTCTTTTATGTGTCCAGCAAAAATTATTCCCGCAGGGTTCAAAGCAGGCGGCAAGGAGAGAAAAAGTTTATATTTGAGTGTATGTGAACGTAGTGTCTATTCAATCGATCATTTCAATAACACAGCACCATTTTTACCCTTTCAGTTACAAAAGCCAGCACGAGTCCCCTTCCAGGAATTTAAGAAAACATATTTAAGAAATTGTACAATGATGCAGCAAAAAGTTTGTTATTCCTGGAGTGATACAACTTTCTCAACAAAGATCTCTCTTCAACTAGAGCAAGTAAGGAGACTTCTGACAATATTAAACTGCCAGGCTCACCGCACTGAAGGGATGTCTCCAAAGTGTTGTATATAAATGTTTAATATATCAACTATTTTAATGAATGCAACTACAAAATCAGTTCCAGGAATTAGTTTCACAGGTGGTGCGAGGGGAGAGTGAACCTGAAGCTTTTATTAGAGCATAAACAACAGATATCCAGCAAACAGTTTAAAGAGGATAAACAACAGCTCATAAACATAAAACCACTGTTTAGTTGTGTGTGTGTGTGTGTGTGTGTGTGTGTGTGTGTGTGTGTGTGTGTGTGTGTGTGTGTGTGTGTGATGTGCGTCTGTTTATCTGGATTATCACACACCTAGCGGCCCAGAGAGGTTGGGCCATTTGATCACAACAACAGAATGATGGACAGATTATATACACAGAAAACAACACATAAACATGCACACACACCAAAACACACGCGTACACTCCACTGAGCTACAGGCCAACATGTTGTAATCTGGAGATCAGCTTGTCAGGTGATCAGAGTAAACAAACTATGACCACCGCATGGCTGACAGTTACAATTACAAAAGTGTCAGCTTGTATTTTATAATAAATACAAAGAAGCTAATATGAAGTTTGTCGACTTGTAAATAGTATTCACGTCAACATTCAAGGCATAACTACACCTGGGAAAATCTGCACATTATTCCCTTTCTTGCCACGAGTTAGATGAGAGGATTGATACCACTCTCATGTCGGCCAATTGAATATAAAGCTACAGCCAGAAGCTGGCTAACGTTGCTTCGCGTGACTTTTATTTTAATCGTCTGGAATCTTTCAAGATTATTAGACCCCCAATTCAATAGATATAAAGTTATATTGTCAATGCACAGTATTTTTAACCCTTGCACAACCAGCTCTGTAATCATACACTTAAGTTGTCCAATGACTTGAACGCGCACAAGCCAAATATTTCACATCTCTACACCATACTATAAAACAAGGAAAGATCATTCAACCAATACATTATATAATTAATTAAACTTGCCAAAACAGATTTTTTTGGCCACTAGGGCTCAGTGGAAACAAAATGTAATGAACACAACATTGACAAAATTATCTTTACTATCTTATTATATTAAAGTTGTTATGGTGAACTTGTTAGCAAACACTTCCTATTTTGTCTTTCACCGCATAACACAGGTTTACTCATAGCGTTAGAGCCATGAGGGACCTATTCATGAGACAGACTCCACTCCGCAGTGTAGTTCCATACGCTTCACTGATAAACCCCAGACTTACACTGAATTGCATTGAAAAATTATAAAAGTTCATTGACAGACATGAGAAACTGACACGTATGTTTCTCATGTCTGTCAATGAAACAAATGATGTCTCAATGTTGATATCCCCAGTTCATCGGGCAGCCTCTGATTTGCATCCAAAACAATCCAAGATGGTTGACCTATTCAGACCGACCCCCAATGTGGTTTTGGGGTCTTATTTACACATCCAGCTTGTCAGTGTTATAATTCATTTGGAGTTGTTTTGATGGGTTTCTGTCCACCTGGTGAGTCCAATATTTACTCTCTTTTAGCTCTGGCTCATTCTCCACTACCTCATGAGAGAATTATCTGGCTCTTTCTGCTGTGCTCCACTATGTTCATAGCTAGTCGCTAATTGTGTCTGTCTGTTGTTTGGTGCTTACTCTCAGAAAAAAGCTGCCTGCTGCAGCCAAAAACAGAGAATGAGAATGGTGCAAGTAAACCTGGAAACCTGGAAACCTTGGAAAACCAAGCTAACAAACTAAAAGATGAAGATGAAATCATCGGCTGTCCTTTGTATTCATTACTTTATAGATCAAGTGTCATAGATGCACCGGGCTGGCACACTTTCTCCACTCATAAACATAATATATCAAACTCATACTGTAACTTTTATAGCCTATGTGGAGTCAACCATGTAGGCTTAAGGCCGTCAACCACAGGGTAGGTCATCATGGCAAGCATCAAGCAAACATCCAACAGGATTAATCTGAGCCACAACAAACAGCCGAATTTGCAAGGTCAAAGAGGCTAGTGCATCTTGTGCCTTCTGGCAGTGCAAAATAAGTTGCATTGTCTCCTGTTATCTGAACATGGTATTCAAATTTGAGCAGAGAGGGATCTGAGTGGTCCGAGTGCACTCGCTAAAGCGCTAACAGAGGTTGTGAGGGTGTGCAAGTGTGCAGAGTTCTGTTCAGTAATTCTTAATGGCTTTTAGCATCAACTGAAATCATTTATGACATTCTCTTCCTCTAAAATGACCTTGTACTTGTTCTGTCGCCCCACGCAGCACTTAATATCATCACTCACTTTTTTGACAGCTCGCCAAATTCACACACACAACCTAATTGCAGAACTGTAGTTCACACAGTATTTGTTTTTTCCTGTATGTAGCTGCGTGGGCTGTGTATGCCACTGTAACAATGCAGACTTAAAAACTTGTGTGTGTGCGTCACTGTGCCTTCACCCAGTGTTCCCTGGTATACAAATGCATCAACCTTATTATGTATATGCCAAATGTGGTGTAATATAGTGTGCAGGCATATCATGAGAACGCATGTAATAAAGCCTTCTACATGTATCAGCTCCCATTCTCACTCACCTGGCATCTAAAAGTCTCATGAATTCATGCATGAATAAGTGCCTACATGTGTTTGTGTTCAGTGTTGTGTCTAGTTCCTTTGTAGGTATTTGTGTGTGAAGACAACATTAAAAGCCCTTATCCGTAGGTGTGCACATGGGAACATTACTTTGTGATGTGTGCGTTTGAGTATGTATGGAAATATCAGTTTTCACACTTCTGTGGTGCACTCTGCATGCATTTATGTGTGAAACTGTAAATATATATAAGCTCTGCGTGTATGCATGTAGATCTGCACTGTATTTGGACCAGCAGTTTGTCCATGCCAGTTTGTGTGTGTGTGTGTGTGTGTGTGTGTGTGTGTGTGTGTGTGTGTGTGTGTGTGTGTGTGTGTGTGGTGAGAACAGCTGCGATATAGAGCCTGTCGTGGGCGTGAGGTAATTAGTGCAGAAGATGATTGTATTATTTGGACGGCCGACCAGCGCCGGGGTTCAAAGTGAAGGGAGGCAGGTGAGCTTGTACGGCCTGCAGCTGCATGTTAAACAACTCAAATGGAATCACAGAAGTCCCGCAAGGGGGGAGGAAGAGTGAGAGAGAGAAAAAGGGGAAGGGAAGGTAAGAAAAGACCTTTTTCTTAAGGAAATGAGCGTAGCAAGCCAGGAAGGAATGATGGTGAGAAGCCAGAGAGACAAAATTAACACTAAGACATAACTAAAGTCTAAATCATGCTGTGTTTTTGTGTGCAAATTAGACTGCTGCCAATGTTCCCAAACAAATTCACAACAGCTTCAGGATGCTCTGGCAGTACAGTTAATACATTGTTTTTAAGGTAGAAAAGTGCTACATGGCATTGCTGTCCTGCAGGCTGCAGTACAACTTGGAAAGTGATAAGAGATATCTAGACTATGGACACACCTAAAGCTCACTACTACAGCTATATTCTTCTATTATAGTCATCTAATATCTAATTCATATCCTACAGGTGCGTTCAGATGCACCGGAAAGAGAAATTTTGTGTCTTTGTGCATTTTTGCACAAGCGGCCACTGCACATTTGGCATGAATGTGCAAAGAAATATAGCACGTTAGCATGAGTTTAAGATTATCGCCGTGAGCGAGAGCCACTGCTGTCATGTAACTGCACTGGATGTCCCTGAAGCCCTAAAGATTCTCTCTCTGTGGATGCATTGTGCAAATTTCTCAATTCTTTGAGAAAAAAGTTTTCAACTAGAGCAAATGTGTCCCTATCCTAATATGGGCCTCGTATCTCAATCGGTGTCTATTTGCCTCTCTTTGGGTTGTTTATCTGACTTTCTATGCATTTGTGCAACCTCTGAAATTCTCTTTGCGCTGTATCTGAGCACACCTTAATACATATCAAGTCTTGTGTACCTGCTTTGACTGTAGGGTTGGTGTTGGGAAGCAGCATAGACATCCACGTGATGCATATACAGTAATGTTGCATTAAAAAATACGTTAGGTGCATATCAGTAGTACAGTATACATCTCGGTAAGTACCTAAACAGTGCACTGCATCTCTGGCAGTTGACCACCTCTCTTAATTCAGCACTGTTTCTTTGCTAGAGAAGCTAAAGGAATGCTCTGTCACTGCATTGAGTGGGTGCAGAGAAGATGCACACTGTACCTGTTCTGGCTGGTTAGCATTGGACAGTGGTATCACCATCCAGATGATGTTGAGGTTGTTGAGGGCAGCGCTGGTGGTGAAGGAGCAGGGCAGGACGGCTGCTTGGCCGCGGGCAACCTGGATACTGCTCTGGGACACTGTCACATCCAGCGCCCGCACAGACACTGCAGGAGGAAGGAGGCAGTGATCAGTGACTTGATACACAATAGATAAGCACATACAAGGTGTAAACAAGTAAAAATACAAGAACAGAGAGAGCAGAGAAGACGTCGAAATGCAGCAATTGCAACTCCCAACAGATGCATCCACTACTATCCCTCCTATAACGATTTAAAGATTGCTTATATCAGTTATATTGAAAAACTTGAGTGTGTCAGAGATAGAGACAGAGGGGCAGACATATAGACAGAGGGAGGGGGGGTCTATGAATGGAGTGTTAACAAGCAAAACCTCTGGCATATACACATTTTAAAAAGAAAAAAAGTTGTGTAATCTCTCAGTGCGCCCTTTCTCTGCCGCCTTTTCATCTTTACAGCAAAACAAACATGATTTCCGAACTGAGCTCCTGTTTTGAAATGCTCTCAGCAGCTAAACAAACATCTAGACCACACTGTGAAGGATCACATGAAATATGTAATAGTTAAATGGGGAAGCACGATAGGCTGTCTCTTGAGTTATTCATTTCCAAAAACTACTTGCTTCTTGCTGCTTTCATGGGAACACAGTCTGTATCAATACATACTAAATGAACATGACAAGTGGGGATAGTAATGGTTATTTTGGAAACAATTTGCTGCTTCCTGTGCATATGCAGCATACTAAACAACTATGATAGCTTGCTGTCTTGTGCAACAAAGGTCTTCTAAGTATTCTAACTAAGGAACTAAGGAGCTGCTTTCCTCATCTGGGCTTAGCTGTCAGCCATAACAGACCGACTGAGACAAATATGTACATGGAGCATCCTATTTCTAGACCAGCTAAAGACATTACAGCCTAAATTAAGTTAGATCTCCCCCGCAAGCATGTATCCATGTCCAAAAACCCCAATGGGAAGTAATCTTATCTAAACATGGTGAGGAGGATGATGGCACTGATATGATTACAGATAATTGATCATGTCCTGTGAATCGTGCTTGTTAGTGATAATGTAAGATGATGATCTTGCGATAAGCCAATGGTAGAAACCACCAGCTTGTTATTTGTGTGGTCAAGCCTATATGTATTATTTCTAGGACACAAATTGTTAGGCATTTTCAATCTGCTGAGAATTTAAGTGTCATTTCTGCCGAATATGGGTTTTGAATATCACCATCACATTCTAGCTGACAGACTGCCTGTTGCTCCCTCTCTGTCTGTCCGAAACCTGCTGACTTCCTACGCTTTCCTTCTGCTGGCAGACACCACACACCCTGCAGGCTCACTGCTGGCACGGGGGAGATAGGCAGGGCTGGAACTGCTCCGCTCAGTTATGGTTTATCAGACATATATATTCAGGAAAAAGACTTCCCATAAGTTATGCAAGCTATTTCACTTAAAGGCATTATATTCCACTGGAATGTCAATATGGATCATGTACAGTATGATTCCTCACTCTAACTCAATTGCTTAAAAAAGACAGTACGTTAAACAGCACGACAATTTGCTCAGAGTGTACGTCAGCTAATGAGTTCCCATTACCGTTATGACATCTACAATCTCAGGCCATGATTATAAATATAATGAATAACAAACTCTTAGGTCACTACAACTCTAATCTGATCTTCTTATATCCTCTGTGTACACAATGTTCACTTCATGCACAGAATCAATCTATGCTCTTATTGGAGGATTAAGTGCAAAGAGAAAGAAGTTCATACAAAAGGTTACAACCTTAATTGTATTGGCCACATGAGATCAGTGTTAGTGTTTATTCTCATTGCCACATCAGTATTAAACGTGTTTAGGGAGGAAGAAAGACAGGAAGATTGAAGAAAATAAAGAAAGAAAAAAGAAAGAAAGAAGAAGTCCTAGAGGAATGAAGATAGAAGGAGCATCTTATCGTCCCTAAGCCTCCTCCAAGGCAGCAGTCTCTCAAGCCCACAACAGCTGGAGGGCTCATTTCAAAACACTGGATTAGGGAACCTCTGCGCTCAGAGCCTGTAAGCTCCCACAACCCAAGAAGAAACACACGCACACACACACACACACACACACACACACACACACACACACACACACACACACACACACACAGACTCAAAATCACAAACAAGCACACACACATATATGCTAGCAAACATGTGCACGCAGACTGTACATATATGCATACACATGCCCTCCAACACAGACACACACATGACATGACCCACACACTACCATGCACACATATTCAAACTCATCAGTGTTTGTCATTGGTGACATGTACAGTAGCCCGTTAGGGACACATCTAAGAGACAGAGACAGGAATGGCTCGACAGTTCACAAACTAAACTGCGGCATTGCTTGGCATTGCCTCATTATTGCACACACTTCTGCAAAAGCTTTAGCTGTTCAGCTGCTTTCTTGGAGCATGTCCGGTAGACAACCGCTCTTCCAGAATGAATACTGTAAAGGGTGAGCGACTCATTGTCAAATATGGCCACCCAGATAAAAAATGTATTGACTTCGGTATGATGTATATCGTGTGATTGTGATACTACAAAGAGTATAGCAATATATTTACTGACTTTATGAAACGCTCTCACTGACAGGCCAGGTTTTGAGCTGTTACTTGATGCTTTATTCTTGTTTTTTTGCTTTTCTAGCATGTTTCATTACCATTCTTGCCCAGGGCTGAGTGCAGCACGCAGTTCTGCTTCTGCTTCTTCATGTCTTCAGGCTGACCTGCATACGTGCAATGTAGACAAGTTGTCCATCTCATTTGGGTTTTCCATTCAAGCATTTCTACTTTTCTGTTGACAAACATCTTGTTCCCTGACGCTCTTTTCTGCAGCCCTGAGCTGCCCCAAGGCACAGCTCAGCAGGAACCACACAAGCCTAACTGACGGCAGAAACTAATCATGCTTGATCTCCCTGACGCTGACCACCTACAGTAACACCTGAAATAGATGAGTGCTGCATTGTTGCCTTTATTAGTCCCCAATAAAAGACTTTTACTACTTTCAAAACTCATGATCATTTGTTCATGTCATTTTGATTCAATTATGTCAATTATCCACTGACTAGAATGACATGATTTAAGTCAACAAAAATATGTCGACTAACAACAGCTGTTTAAATATAGATTCAGCAAAATTAACACTTCGTCATTGACTCGAGTATGCAAACTTTAGACATTTGGCAAGTTATCAGTTCATCTGTGAGCTGCAAGCATTCACATACAGGAGCTGAGAAACACTGTCAAGATGAGATTGCCTGTCTATGATTGTATAACAAACCTTTTTTCTCTCATTAACAGCAACTTAACATCTCTTGTTGTTTTTCATTTTGCATGTTTTTGTTTATTATAAAATCAACAATATTGAGAATTTGTGTGCAAAAGAAATCCCTGGTTGGAATTAATTTCATGACAAGACAACATGAGCACCACTTAAAATAGATGGACCATGTAAGTCCTAATAAAATGATTTTACTAATAAGAAAGATCTTAAAAGGGGCATTTTTACATAATTTAATTTACCATTCTGTTAGCTTATGATGTCGTTTTCATATAAGGATTTTGGACCATTGACAATTAATCATAGACTAGAGACAAGAGATGTGCTACTCAGCATTTATGATCATAATGTTTTATATAGAGTGAAAAGGACAGAGTAATGGAAAGAAAATAAAGGCGCAAGTAACAAAGGACAAAGTAAAGGGGAGGAAGAGACTAGAGAGGAACAAAGTGGTGTGACGGATGGGCAGAAGTTTGAGAGGTAATGGACAAGGACGGGGAGGAGAAAAGCACAAGAGAAAGGATGCACCATGAGAAGAGAGGGAGAGAAGACGGATAGGGAGGCACAGAGAGGAAGAATATCAGAAGAAAGAGTAGACGAAAGAGTAGAGGAGGAGTGAAATGGGGGAGGATATAAGGAAGGAGGGGGATGTGGCTGTTTCCAGAGAGGCCTAATAATTGATAAAGTCACCCCGGGCAGTGCTAGCAGTGGTTGTGGAGCGAAGGAGAGAACCAACAGCGTGGCTCCGTTAAAACAGCTCTCTCTCCTCATTCGGGAGCCAAGTGTCAAAACTGCTGTTGATTAATGCATGAGAAAACCATGCACCTCAGAGAGCATGGAAATCTGTGTGTGTGTGTGTGTATGTGTGTGTGTGTGTGTGTGTGTGTGTTGTGTGTGAGGGTGTGAGTGGATGTGTGTGTGTGTGTGTGTGTGTGTGTGTGTGTGTGTGTGTGTGTGTGTGTGTGTGTGTGTGTGTGTGTGTGCACGCGCTTACTCACTCAGTCAAACTAAGGTGCAGCCATGATGGGATGGAGAACAAATGCAGGGTGAATACAACACTTCCACTTTCACTCATACAAACACTCTCTCTCTCTCTCTCTCTCTCTCTCTCTCTCTCACACACACACACACACACACACACACACACACAAGACAATCCCGGCTTGGCAAGTCATTTGCATTCTCTGTTTTTATTCATGTGGCTCTTTTATTCATAGGCTTTACTTTTATTTCAGTTTCAAACAGATGCCCCTGATGCTGTGATGTGATGAGCCTCTGGCACAGCTTCACTGGGTGGGCTGGGACACACACACACACACACACACACACACACACACTCAATAGGGACACACCTATGCATACAGTACATACACCTGTTTAAGGGAGATGATTGATGATAGTGCTTAAAGCCTGACTAGAAAGGTAACAGAAGACACATAAATACATATGTGAAAGTGAAATATATAAACATTTTCTTATCAGGCAACAGCTAATGTCTGAATATTTTAACTCTGACCTTAAATTTACACCCAATTGCTACATCTCTGTGTTTGTCAGTTTAAAGATAATTTCCATAACATACTGTACTAATAATATTCACATTTTGAAACCAGAAAAAATAATTAAATCAAAACTCGGATGGTTTCATGCGTGATAGCCACCTTTTGTCAGCTGCGTTTACTCTAAGCGTGAGAGCTCCTAAGAAGTAAGAGGAGAAGAGTACAAGGGAGCAATGAGAGATAGAGCAT